CTTATTACCTTGGGATTTACCGCTCGGGGTACTTTATAGCAATGTAAAAATGTCCTGACTGAATGGTATACTCATGCAATGGTTATCAGTAGTACCGAAGGCTGAATATCCGGCTGAAGGGGCATAATGGCTATAGACAAGCCCCTCTGAGCGTCAGAAGTATACCAAAGGTATTTGCATTGGTCTTAACCCATTTTAGCACCCGTTTATATGTGTTCTGAGTGAGCTCGACGAGGTAAGTGTCGAGACGCTCTCTACATCGCCCGCCGACCGCTGCTGAAAGGCTTCAGCCACCGTCCGCTTAGTCAGCCTCGGGGATCTCGGCGACGACATTTGTGCCAGCCGTCCTATAGCGTTCTCCTCCTCTTGTTCGTTCTGTATCCGGTAATACATTAAAAATAGATTTGTATTACATAACACTGCACGTGCGCCCTAGTAAAGGAGGAGCGAGAACGCTAAGGACGGATGGTTTAGGAGCCTGCCGCCGGCCCAGCCACTTTGACACTGACACGGGCCCTGGCTGATCCACGTCCTGCACTCATGTTCACTTTTGCCAATTATTAAGGCTTTATATACCACCCGCTTTCTTTTTTTTCGAACCCGTTCCCCCCCGCGCTCCTTTGTCCCCGACCACGACCGCGACCACGACGACGATGGAGTTCCCGACGTACCCCGCCTCGATGTCGACGTTCGACGACTCTGCCTTCTTTTCCCCCGACGTCCTTCCCCGCCGCGGCAACCTGCACGCGTCCATCCGCACCTACTCCTGCCCCGAGTCCGACGAGCAGTCTGTCTTCTACTTCGGCCTGCAGTCGCCTCGCGAGACAAAGGACGAATTCAGCTCGTTCCTCTACCTCGACCTTGCTGACGCGGGCTCGTCGCGGCAGACCAGCCTCCGCGGGAAGGCGTCCGGCTCGCGCTCGCAGCCGCGCAAGTCTATGTCCGACACAAGGACATCGTTCTTGGTGGTAACCTCCGCCGATGCCGAGTACGTTCATTGTCATTTATGCAATGTCCACAATGTCTGATCCCGGTACCATCATCAGTGACTTTACGGCAGATATGCGAACGCCCTCTCCCGACTTCACGGATCTGCTCTCTGCCACATTGTACGTATATTTACCTCAATATATGCGCATATATTCAATCAAAAACGACAATTCACAGACGGTTCGACGACCCGGATTCCTATACACCCATGCCACGATCCCCGGCTACACCGACGACGCCCTCTGCGCGCCGCCGCTCACGCGACCACCTCCCCTCGCCGAAGCCCGCGCCTTCCTCGCTCCTCCCACCCGTCCCGCCTCGCACGACGCACCTCCAGTCGCTCACCCTACCTACGAGCCCCGTCTCCTACGCCCTCCCGTCCTCCCCACCCGTCTCGCACCGCGCGTCGCACTCTGCGCCGTCCGTGCTCTCGTCTTTCCTCCCTAGCCCGCGTACTCCACGAAATAGACTCAATGGTAGAGAATCAAGGCGGCGCGAGAGCCGCGCGTCGGGCCTGACGCGGGGCTCCTCGATCACCTCGCACCAGCGCCGCGCGAACCGCAACAACGCGCTCGCTGCGCTTGAGGGCCGCTCGCGCTCCCCACACCGTATATCGCGCGGCCGTGAGAACTTCATGTCCATGTCCGACGACGAGGACGACGATGCGGACGCGGACGACGAGAAGGAGAACGACTGCGATCTCGAGGAGGAAGAAGAGGCAAGACTGGATGATTTCGTGCAGGAGCAGGAGACGCGGCCGAGGGACTCGATACACCTGCACGACGCGATGCTGATCGAGGACGAGGATGTTGTGATCCCGCTCTCGCCGTCGGCCTGTATGAACGGCTCGCGGCCGCGCGCGCACTCGCGGGTGCCGCTTCCTCCTATGCCCATCACTGCTACGCTGGCTCCGGCAGTCAAGGCCCGCTCGAGAGCGAACACCCTTCTATTAAGTGTGAACGTTGGTGCCACAAAACCCGCGACACCGATATCAACTCCGCCGCCGTCGGCGAGGAGGCTGAGCAGAAGGACACGGAGCATGACGCTCGAGTCGTGGTTTCCGCCGCTGGCGAACTTTATTGACCTCGCGGACGACGCGAGCGCGGAGGTCGGCCGGTGGCGGAGTTTTATCGACGTCGCGAGCCCGTGAATACGGCGCACACCAGAGGAGGAGAGATAACGCGAGAAGGGTGCGGGTCACCCGGGTCGCGCGTGAAGAAAGAAAACCAAAGAATGAATGTCGCCGCCGTGACGAGGCGGAAAGAATCTGCTGTCCATCCAGCGCCTGCCTGCTACTGTTGTCTTGTCTATCTATGCATCTGTATCACCCACTCACCGCCGTCCACTCGCTTCCATTGCATACGCACACGCATATATCCACCCGCTCATCAACCACCAACCAAGCATAACTTGTACTTTTCTCTTCGTTCTCACCGCCTGCCCCTCAGTGTGCGCATACATCCGTATGTGTATGTACATCTGTGTCATCATTCGATGTGTTGCTATACAGTACATTCCATTCGTTGGTTCTGAATCGGTACCGTACTTAATTCGCTCGTTAGAGGCTAGTAGTCGTTAGTCCCTCAGTTAGTCAGTCGATACTGTCCCTTTGTGTATTTCTTGATGTCGTTCCAATGCCATGTTGGGATGAATACGCGCCGCACTGCCCGCTCTGACAATCTGAAATCCGGGGCATGCCACATTCCGATGGGTGCTTGGAAATCCAAGTGCTTGAGATATGTTGGCAAAACTGTTCCTGCTGCAGCTTGCGGGTCCGAGGATATCTATCAATCGATTGGACCGGAGGATGCAGTGTAATCGGGTTGACGGACTGACAGCTTGTCCTCCAGATAAGTAATTGTCAAAAGGAATTCGTAATCTCGTCAGGTACGCTTCGGACGAGTAGTGAACGCTATCTCATCCACGTAAGTATCATTGGAAGTGCTAAGAACGTGCGCAGGTGTAGCGTTCCTGGTACCGGTATCACATCGACGGTACATATCGGTATCGTCGGTAATACCGACGGTCCTGCTACAGTGAATACCGTCAGCCAGGCACCCGTCGTAGACTGACAAATAACCGTAGCCAGTCAGCTATAGCGCTAGATTTCAGAGAGGATCGCCACTATGATCGCGTCGATGTCCTTGAAGCACACAAGCAGACAAGGCAAGATAAAAGGGAAGAAACGTTGTATCCATGACTGGCTAGTGTTCCTCCCAGTAGGAAGTCGTACACGAGAACAGTGGCAAGGGAGAGTGCTACTAATACAAGTTCACGACACACAGACCAACACTACCGGCGCATCCATCCCGAGCGGCGCAATAAATAACGTTGAATCACCAAACCCACGAACTCTATTCCAAATCTATGCCTCACCCTTTAAAAGAGCGAGGGCAGAGAACTGGAGGGACTTAGGCGTCCCATGAGCGGACGCGGTTCTTGAACGCACCCTTGCGCGTCGCAGCGGCGCTGTTCCCGCCGCGGTTGTTACCGTTGCGGTTGGCGGCGCCGTTGTTGCTGCCCTTTGTCCGATTGCTGCCTGTTTTCTGGGTAGAAGTAGCAGTAGCCGTGGCAGCGGTGTCGGTCAGGGTGGCGGTGGCAGCAGCCCCGCTGCCCGAGGTGAGCGTAGCCGCGATGGAGTCACTCGCGGTGGCGACTACAGGAAGACACTATCAGACCATCATGTACTAGAGGAATATATTGTGGTACGCACGTTCGCCGAGAAGAGAGTCGACGTTCGCGGTGTTGAAGAAGCCGACACCGGCGTTGCCCAAGTTGACCGAGGTCGTCTCGCCGGCAGCAAGAGAAGCAGCGGCGTCGGCGTTGGCTTTGTCAGTAATCTCCTACAGGATTGGCGATGGACGGTCAGCAATCATCGCAGTAGCAGGTATGGAGAGGCGGACGAACCGAGCTCTGACCCTGCTTGCCGGCGTCGATGTTACCGTTCGCCATCACAATGAGGGCGCTGTCGATAGCGAGCTGGACGGCCTTCTTGAGGTCGATGGCTTGCTGGGTCGTCAGGACAGCGTCCTTGGAGGCCTCAGTCGAGTTGCCACCCTTGGCCGCGAAGTCGTCGTGGCCAGCGAGCTTGTCGATGGGGACTAGGGAGCAAAACATGAGAAACCGAATAAACTGATACAAAGGATAGACAACTTACTGTCGATAGCGGTACCAGTGGCAGTCTCGAGCTCGTCAATCAACTGGGCAGTCAACAACTGTCTCTTCTCGTTGATGTTGCGGTTCAGCATCTCTCTCTTAGCGACCAGCTCGGAGAGCTCGTCGATCGACGCGATGGAGCGCCCGCTGAGGAGGCTGCGCCGGCCCTGCATAATCGCGTTGTTCTTCGCGCGATTGCTGCCACCCTTGCGGTTGTTGCTGCTGGTGTTCCCGTTGCCCCCAGCGGCGGCGGTGATCGTCGACTTGGCAGCGGTACCGGAGGAAGAGCCAGTGGCGGCGTTCGCCTGTGAGACGGCGACGCAGCCGCCAAAGGGACCGGCACCGTTCGCGAAGGACGTGCTGTTCTCGCCGCCGTTGGTGATACGGATCAGGCAGGCGTTGCCGTTTGTTCCGCCAGTGCACTTCAGGTTGTTAGGCAACTGCAGAGTCAACTCAGAGTCCGCGGGGCCATTGCTACGAGACTCCGTAATCAGTCCGCTGCCGAGCTGTTGAACAGTAATAGTGTGATGCGTACTGCAGGAGACCGTTTTCACCCGGGGGCTGCTTCGTGACGGTGGCAGCAACCCATGTCTTGCCCGTGCCGTCCTCGTTCACCTCGGCCGTGAAGGGTCCTCCACCGTCTGCGTTCACCTGGTGGAGACCAAGGGTAACGGTGCTTTCAACGGCGGGGAGTGCACCGTTGTTGGCTTGCTCCTGTGCCTTCAGGGCCTGGGTAATGTCAATGCTACCGCCCTGCAGCGTTGAACCACAGGGATCTGATGTGATGTAAGTCTCGATATCCTACGAAGATACGGTGAACAAACGTACTCGTGTTCAAATCCTTGAGCACGGGTGTATCGAGCTGGAAGGGCTGCTCAGTGGTTCCATTCCGGGGAATGGCACCCGTGGTGTCTGCCACCAAATTCTTTAGTCCGGATACTTCTGACGGCGCACAGGTCATATACGCACCAACACCGAACGACATGGCGGAAACGCCATTTGTACTCTTGACGGAGGAAATGAAGGCATGGCCGTAAGCCGTCGAGGCAAACAAAGAGAGAACAGCGATGCTCTTGAACATATTGACGAATCAACAAAAGGCGACGGGATGAACCAGATGGATAATGGACCAGCCAGCCGGGATACACGCTTCAACGAATAATGAAAGAGAAAATGACCAGCACAAGAGAGAGAAGGGACAAGAGACGGAGCCCAGCTACCGAACTTGTGTTGGACGGGATGGAGGGTGGACGGGGGGTGGTGGGATACCCGAGTTCGGGCAACCCCCTTATGTAGCGGATGAACATTTGAAGAAATCTTTGATCGCAAAGCCGCGCCGAGAACTGGAGTCTGGCGTTGAGTCCAAGAGCAATCACCATGGATGCGGCCTCCGAGGGACGGTGCCGACTGCGCGGTTGCCCGCCGAGCGAATCGCGAACAAATCATACAGCCAAAAAAGACTGGAAATGGCAAGCCATTTGTATCTGCCGGTCAATGGAAGGGCTGATTTCTACGTTTCCTTGGAGAGTTCCTGACCTGCTTACGACGATTACATATCCTCTATAGGGTTTGAATGCCCGCTCAGTCGTTCGTTGCCTAAACTCACAAAGCCTTCCCGGTCAGTAATCAAACATTCGGCGTATGATACGGAATCAGAACGATACGACCAAATGATGGTTGGTGGCCCATTGCTGCTGTCTCAGCCTGTCTGGCTCCTTCTGGCCGCGACATAGGCGTTCACCGCGGGAACATACCTCTAATAGGAGCTCTTTCCTTCCATATCCGTATTGCGGTGGCTGGCTACCCTGACTCAATCCTGTGTACGCAGAGTTCTCTCCGGTCATCGAATACACTGTTCGTTGCTACTGCCATCCAACCCCCATCTCCATCTCGTTGGACCGCATCGTCCTCAGGAGCTGCTTAGAGCTGCTGCGCTGATTATGATTGACTTCAACTCGCAATGAAAACGTGGATGTGGCCGTCGACCGCGCTTCCCGTGCTATTATTGCACCATTTAACCTCTGATCCGAGGGGCACATGCGGGTCGCATGTTTCCGTGCCAACTGTGGCCGACTCCTCGTCCTTGCCTACATAGTAGTAAACGTCCCGTCGGCACGGAGGGAAATGCGGGGAAGCGTCCGGACTCCGAAGAATACAAGCAAGCAAGAGAGAATGGTATGCTACACATCGTGATAACAGGGTACAGTCGTATAACGCAGCGCTATTGGGTCGTGAAAGAAACGAGGGTAGACTGGAGTCACTAGACATACTGCAGACAGACGAAGTCCAAAACCAAGCAAAATTGAAGCAAATTCACATTGTCCGCCCGAAGACATCGATCTTCGGTCCGCTCTACACCTCTACTAGAAGATACCAGTCCGCGACATACATAAAAGAACTTCGCATACCAAGGTCCTACCCTACGACTTCCGCAGCAACACCTGATATAGTGTCCACCGTAGTTCAAATTGGACCATGACCAATGGCAAGACCCTGCCACTCCAACTTTAGAGGTCCAATACCACGACGCAGAGGAAGCCGATGAGGAGGAGGAGGAGAAGCAACCCCGCGAATGCGACAACAAAGGCCGCGACGATGCCAAGGATGACGAGCAGCGCGAGGGCCACTAGGAGCCGCTGTATTTCGTCCGGCGCGATTGATTGAAGAGAGCGCGAAGGTGCGTCCGGACACGAGGTAAGTGCCATGCTGAGATGGCGTCTCATCGTCAAGGCTGCAATCGCAGCGAGCGAGTCAGTGAGAATGTGATGACGGTAACGAGCCAGACACACCTAATCCCCGTATCCTGGCGCTGTCATCGTAAGTATAGTCGTACATGTCTTTCTGCGGGTTGCTCGTCATGCTCATGGTGGGAGCGGTGCGATGTGGGTGTCAGAACGTAGGGTTGGACCACAACAACAAGCCTGCTTGCTGATGACAGTAGTGAAAGATGGGAGCACGCCCCGAATGGACGACCCAGCATGAAGTAGCATGGTATAACAAGACGTCTTGAATGCTCCGAAAGCGCCCGTGGTATATATAGCAGCACAGCTCGAAAGGCTGACAGACAGGCTGACGGGGCCGAATTGGGTCAGGTCCATTGTGCGAGGGCGGGCACGCTCTTTTGTGCTCCGGTTAAAGTGCTGTTCACGAACGGAGCAGGGTGAACGAGCTTAAACCCACATATGACAAAAACGAACAATCAAGTTCAATCACGACCCCGAGAACTCACGATATCATCCCGACGGACACAACGTGGTATGCGACAGCATCACTGCGTCGTGTCTTGTCAGGCAGGCGACAAGCTGTGACCATGGAAGGTGACGGGAAATGGACATATGGAGGTATGAAGGCGCGGCCACGCTGTCTGCGCGGATAGCTCGCCAACACTCCCCAAACGCTCTCGTATCCCTGGAGCGACGGAGGGTACAGTATGGAGTAGTCGGCGGAAGAAACCAGCACCCGGAGACCACTTATAGGAAATACAAAGAAAAGAGAGCGACAGCTTGATACCAGCAACAGGACAAGAGCGGAATCAAAGCTGCCAGTGAGTACAGATTGGTGAACGAGACCAAGTCGTCCGAGAAACCCGATCCTTATCCGGGCGGCGTATAGCTGAGTTAACTCAAAGACCAAACATATCAAGGCTTCCTCTTCGAGAGTGACCGCGAGCGGAGGCAGGCTATGACTGTTCCCAAAATACCAGACGGCGCCTAGTTTCATTTTGCCAGGTCAGTGTCCAGGTCCCTCCCAGCACATCCGGATCGTCCGTAATGCAGGCATAGGGGGTGCCGTCCATACCTGCGGTAGGCGCAGGTGAGATGCTGTGAAGAGCGGCGTCCGAGGACTTTGGTTTGACGGCTATCTTGCGGATGGTAAGTGGGGGTGGGCAAGTCCGGACTCACACGCGTACGCTTATGTAATCAGATTGTGGCGCTGAAGTGACCAGACTATGAACATTTGCTTCCACACATGCTTTGCGTGGTTCGTGTGTCTCTAAAGCAGGTTCAACATGACAAGAGAATAACATAGCATGTCACCAAGATTAGAAGATGATGAAATAGCTAAATTGTGATAGTCGAGCATTATTTACAGGATGTTTCCCAGCATTATCCAAGATCTGATTCATACTCTAGCTCAACATCATCCGGAGTATCATCATCCAAAACTGCTTCATAAGTCCCCGGCGCATTGGTGGACACCGCAGGACTTTGTAGTATAAGGAGGCGATCACATTCGGGAAGCGCGCTGTAACGGCCGATGACCTCCTTTAGCTCCGCGAGGAGCGCACTCTTCGACTTCATGTCCTTCTTTTTCTTCGTAATGAGATGCCTGAGTTTTGATGCCAGCCACTTGTCTGCTTGAAGATGGAGCTGTTCGACTACCTTGCCAGTAAGGGCATCAAGCCCCGCCTCAGTCAGAATAAAGTTGACTGAGTCTAGGCGAGCAGCTCTATCATTGCGCTTCTTCTGCCTCTCCCCAGCTTTGATTCGCTGTTCGTCTGCCGTACGTTGCCTAGCGTCTACGAGTTCGGAACGTCGAATACATTCCAAGCCGCTCGAATCTTGTTTGCGAGCCGATCGCCGGAGGTAATCGTGATTCACGAAATGCAATCCTCCCTACAAAGTTGAGGACGCAGATTATGTAAGCGAGTCGCGCAGCGGCTCGCAAAGTGGACGCGGAGCCATTGCAGCGGATGCGCCCAGACGGTTGCCCGACTAACATATTACCTTATTTTTGAATATTGCCAGTGTGCCGCTAGTGCAGCGGTTAGTGTGATGGGTTATTTCAGATGCAACGATGTGAGCTCGAGGTTCAATCCCAGATGTGGATGATATTTTTCACTTGTGATGATTCTAGTTGTCTTCACTCCGTAACGCAACTTGGAAGTTTTCTTTTGTTCTCTGTCTCATCATGCAGTCATTGCAAGGCGCCAATATTGATGACATTGTGGGCACTTTGAGTCCGGACAAGGGCCAATCTATACACAAAGCCTTCACTTGGTATTATACTTTGGGGTTCAGTTTCAAAAAATTCAAACTACATGTGTACTGATATACAAAACCATTCAACTTCTCATGATCATGGGAGGTGGTGTTACCATTGTACGAATGAATTGCAGTGAGTACACAACCTCCTCACCATCTTAGGATTTCCATTCCGAAGCGAGTCGCCCCGACTTCAGACGAAGTCCCTCGCAACGCTGCGGGGTTACCGCACAGTGACTCGACCTTCCATTTATAGCAACTCGCGTCCTTAACTTTGTAGGGAGGATTGCACTTTCTTCGTGATTCTCGTCACTCAACGTTTCCATATATGCACCCGTGTTGTTCCTCTGGTGCATGTATATAGCATTCCTCTTGCGCTCCGAGAGATTTGGTTTGTCCCGCATCATGAGGCGGGCACTCCCCAGTGCTCCTTCGCATGCATCGTTTGTGGCGGGTGCATGAACACGCTCTCGCTCTTCGGCAGTTGCTTGATGAATGCTACCTCCCTCAATGAACTCTGAGCTGAAGCGCTCCCATGTCTTCTGCGCGCCTTCACAGAATGCAATCAACACGGCCCGGAGGTGTGGGAGCTCCGGGGCCATTTCATGTATTCTTGCAATCACCGCCGGAGACTCCCACTCTTCTCCGTGTAGGCATGCCGCCTGATGAGTTGTTGACGGCGACAGCAGAAGGTCAGGATCTTCAATTATTTTCTGCAGATGGTCTCGGACGTCCCGGTGCAATGGACCCAAGTCTAAGGCATTAACCGAGGCAACACCGCCGCCCCGTACCACCTGCATGTATGGATGCGAGATGACCTGAGCATAGAGAGCCAACACCGCAAGCTCTGTTAGGGTAGCAGGATCGTGAAGGGCGGAATAGAGATTTTTTTCGATATTTGTGAATCCAGAGTTATCTTTCTTGGCGTCTCTAACCATTTCAAGGAACTGAATATGTTCCTTCAGATACAAGATCAATACAATCGCTGCAGCGCAATGGGATTGAAACCGGGTGTTACTGGTGTCCGGGAAGTAGTGTGAAATTCCTAGGATCTTGCGGAACCACAAGACATAGGTGTCCTGGAGACCCTTTTTGTTGTCCTTGTGATTGAACAGAAGCCCAGCAAGAGCAGCCACTTTAACGCCACCAAACATTGAGCCATTCAATGCACGCTTCTCGGACGGCTCAGTCGAATCCGAAGGATTTGATAGGTGCGCGAGATTTGCAGTGTTGAATTTGTTCGGTAACAGAATGGGACCGAGGATGCCATGAGCGGCCCACCAGCCCGTCATCGCTGTGTTCCCACCCTTGACACTGTTCATTTCTTTGTGCATACAGCATCCGACCCAGATGAACAGGTTGAGTTCCCGTTTCTGCGCTTCCGGAAGTGCCTCGTATACCTCGGAACCTATGGTCGTCTTCAGCTCCGTAAGCATTTCTGCACTGTGCTTCAATTGATCCTCTTCGGACATTGACTCCCAGACCAATTGTCCGCCAACAGCCGAGATCTTCTGCAACAATGCGCCGGCAACTAGGAGCACGATCTCATCACTCGTTTTCGCATCAAGAGCCTTCTCGCCAAGTAGAAATCGAGATGCTGACTGTGACCAGTCCTGTATGTAACGCGCGAGTTTCTTTTGGTCTTCGGCGTGGTCGCTATTCATCCCGGTAACCTTTGCTGCAAAATCAACTTCCCGTACGACCGTCCCCGAGCTGCTCGCTATCGGGCTCTGGTTATAGACTTCACATAAGTCCCCAACAGATTGTTTCCAGGAGTCAAACTGTGTCTTGCTTGAGTGATCCGATGTAGTGTGAACACCAAGCATCCTTGTTGTTGGAATGAGAGGTACGTCGGCGCCTTTGCTATAGCTTTGTGGCGCTAAGTAGCTAACACAATGTGCCTCATAGTTCTCGTGACGGTGCAACGTGCCGTCAGAGCTCAGTACCAGACCTGAATCTTCTCGGTGAGTACAGGTCCCATATCTAGAAAATGCCAGCTGAGCCACGTACCATTGGCTCCTCGCCACTCATCCACAAGTTGCAGCTGGGAAGCGATCCCTCCTTCCTGTATTGCGCGCCCAACAGTATGTCTGCTCATCACCTCTGAGTCTTTCACTTGATATCCCATTGACTTGGCAATTGCTTTGATCACAGCACCCGCCTTCTCTTCAGAGCATCCGGACTCAACCAGAGTTCGTGCCATCACTCGTGCCCCCTTGCTGTAAGTCCCCTTTACTTTCATCTTCCACTGTTTTGCCCTCAATCGTGCCTTCTCAACAGCATGACTTCGAATCTGCGGTGCGCGCCATACCCGCGCCCAGAGAACGGAGTTTCGTCGGCGCACCTCGTGGAGTTGCCTGCGTAAGTGCGCGACCTGCTCTATCGCATCTCTCAGGCCCTGACTTGTCTCCTTCTTGAAGCTCTCTGCCTCTGCCGCTGCTTTGCAGGCCGCAGGAAGCACGACTGTCTCGAGTTGCCTGATGTGTCCTTGAAGACCAGCCTTGCTCTGCTGCCAGCGCTGGTTCTTGCGGCGCTCAGCACGAAAGCGCTTCTCGTACATCTCTACTCTCTCTTGAAGTGCTTTCACCTTTGCTCGGGCGTCCTCAAGCTCGGAACTTTGAAGGCCATTGAGCTGCTTTGCAGCCTCTAGTTCAGCCAAGGCTGCATGCAGCTGCTTCCGGAGCGGCTATAAAACTGTAAAAGGTTGTTTCCGAATATTAAAATGCTATTTGTTCCCTCACAATTGCCTTAGGCCATGATGTCCTGCTGCTCGAGTCCTGTCTTGCCGGTATGTTCTCCTTGTCAGATTTTGCCTGTCGGGCTTTCTTAAGTGCTTTCTTCTGTTCTTTTGAGCGTCCTTTCGGTGACGACCTCTTTCTATTCCTTGTATTGGCCATACAGTATTATGATATATGTTACTGTTGTTGTCGGAACACCGGTCTCGGAAGGGTACAGAGAAGTCGGTGAATCCAGGGAATTAGCAAGTAAATCTGGGTTTGAAATTTCAGAAAAAACACTGAATGCATAGGCAAGAGTCCCACATACATATCCATTACAGTTATATGGTAGTCGGAGGTAGGGTAATGGCCACACATATTGCAGAATGTCAGATGCAGGACATTGGAGCGCGTCGGTCACATCACGGTCACGTCGCGTCACGCCTAAATGAGTACGTCGCGGTTCTGGCACGGCGGACCACGTACAGCTCTGCACACTCAATTTCATGCGTTACATGAAACACATAAGTTTCCATGCTAGGGGAGCTCTTTTGCGTGTTCAGCTCAGAATTTTAGTAGCATAAATTTTGACTTTTTTCGTATTTATTGCCGTGTTATCTTCTATTGGAGTTAAACATCCCCAGCCCACCAACATTTCACAGTGGTTTGTGACTTAAATCTGCCGTACAGGGCAGTCTTTGGGGTGGAAACGTGTTTGCTCGTGGTCGGTCATCTCAAAACCGTGTTTCGGCCTGGAGCAAACATGTACAAACAATACGCTTTTGGATGCAGACTTGCCCACCCCCATGGTAAGATAGGCGACACTCAAACTCATTGACATCACGTGATCTGTACTATAGGTGTGGACTTTTAGATCAATTAAAGAAATTAAATCGAAGGAGAGAGAGAAAGAGAAGGGAAAGACACTCCGTTTGGGCCCCGTGAGCTTCAGAAGGGGTATATTATTGGAAGGGTATACTAGTGCTATATTCAGGGATCTCCCGTGGCTTTGAATATCCCTCGAGGCTAGTTTCTTTGGTTTCCACAGCACATGAATTTTGCTTCGCGGCGCTGCGCGCCATATTAACTCTCTGGATAGCTTCAGGCAAAACATGGTGGTATTTAAAGTTTGAATGGACGCCTCTATGCGTATCCCACTGCTCATGTAAATTGCAAGAAATTAAGCAACCTGGAAGTCAAAATCATATTAATATTGTTTTCGGCGGCACTGTTGTGCCGCTCACTTTGGGCATCCCAAACTTAATGAACCACTTGTCACTTACCTATCTATAGTACTTCTACCTAGCTATGTGTCCCAGATCTCACAGTACAGATATAACTCTTCAGCCCCAATTTTGGGAGTGAAATAGCACCACAAGCGACAAAAAAGCGCATTTTCAGTTCAAATTCTCAAAAACAATATCTCTCTCTTATTTTACAAGCAATTCTGGATGGGATCGCTTCAGTAGGAAGCTTGCACGCGTTGTGAAAAGGTAGGGAGGCTGGAGGAT